GTGGATTTATCCTTTATCCTTACATAATAACTTTCCTTGTCTTATAATCTTTGTTTTAAAGTTATTTTATCTGATATAAGTATAGCTACTCTAGCTTTCTTTTGGTTTCTGCTTGCATGGCATATCTTTTCTTATCCCTTCACTTTCAGTCTGTGTTCTTATATCTCAAGTAAGTCTCTTGTTGGCAGCATATATAAAATCCATCCATGCACTCTGTCTTTTGATTGGAGAATTTAGCCCATTTATATTTAAAGTAAACATTGATACATATGTGCTTATTTATGTGTTGTTGATTGCTTCCTGGTTGTTTTGTAGTTCCTCTGCTACTTTCTTTTTCTCTTTTTTCCTTTGTGATTTGATGTTTTTCTGTAGTGGTATATTTCAGCTTTTTCTCTGTGTGTGTGTGTGTGTGTGTGTGTGTCTACTATAGGTTTTTGCTTTGTGGTTACCATGAGGTTCACATAAAACAATTTATAAATGTCTGTTTTAACTTGATAACTTAATTTTGAATACATTCTGAAGCTCTACAATTTTATTCCCTTACCCCCATGAAACCTTTCATGTTTTAGATGTCACAATTTACATATTTTTATCTTGTGTATCTGGTAACAAGTTACTGTAGTTATCATTATTTGAACACTTTCATCTTTTAGCTGTCATATTAGCTTTATAAGTGATTAACCTCCATCTTTCCATCATGAGATTATTCTGAATTTTACTATACTTTTCCCTTTATATATCATGCCACTCTCTTCTGGCCTCCAAAGTTTCTACTAAAAATCTGCTTATAGTCTTATAAGGGTTCCTTTGTACCTAACAAGTTGGTTTTTCTCTTGCTTCTTTTAAGATTTTCTCCTTGCCTTTAACTTTAAACAGTTTAATTATAATGTGTCTTGGTGAGTTTAACTGTGGCTTCACCTTAATGGGAACTTAATGGGTTTCTTTGATCTGTATGTCTGTTTCCTTTCCCTAGGTTGGAAAAGTTTTCAGCCATTATTTTTCCAATCAAGAGTTCTTTCCCTTTCTCTCTTTCTTCTCCTTCTGGGACCCCTATAATATAAATATTGGTCCACTTGATGATTTCCTGTAAGTCTCCTAAGCTATGCTGAGTCTTTTTCTTTTCTTTTTCTTTTTGCTGCTCTGATTGGAAAATTTCCACTGCCCTTTCTTCAAATTTGCTGATCCTTTCTTCTGATTCATCTAGTCTGCTTTTGAAGCCCTTTATTGTACTCTTCACTTCAGTTATTGCATTCTTCAATTCTGTTACTTCTATTTGGTACTTTGTATTTTGTATCTTTGTGAAATTCTAACTTTATTCATTTGTTCTTCCAAGTTTGGCTGTCATTTTTATAACCACTCTTTTTTTTTAAAATCATTTTTTAAAAATTTATTTTCAGCATAACAGTATTCATTGTTTTTGTACCACACCCAGTGCTCCATGCAATCCGTGCCCTCCCTAATACCCACCACCTGGTTCCCCCAACCTCCCACCCCCCCACCTCTTCAAACCCTTCAGATTGTTTTTCAGAGTCCATAGTCTCTCATTATAACCACTCTTTTGAACTCTTCACTAGGTATATCACTAATCTCTATTACAGTCTTTTTTTTCTGAAGTATTTACTTTATTCTTTCATTTGGAACATATTCCTCTATTTCTTTATTTTTCTTGACTTTCTAAGTTGGTTTCTGTGCATTAGATTAAAACAAAGGAACAAACAAAACAAAAACAAAAAACCCCCACACTTCTTCCAGTCTCAAAGGAGTGTTATCAGACAGGAGGTGTACCTTATCTTTCAACCCTGCCATAGCTATTGGTTTCTCTCAAATCTTGTTCAAGTAGCCTACTTCATTCTAGTGGTTCCCAGTAATTGAGGGAGTGCCAAGACTAGTCAGTGTCCTAAAGAGGAGGATCTCAGTCAACACCAACAGTTAGGCTACAGCACCAGACCCTTAAGTAACAGCTTTTAACCTTTCAGGGGAAGGCAGGTGATGGTTATCTCTGTTGCTCTCTCTGCACAGATCACTGGGTGATAACCACTTAAGAACTGTTTCTTTCTTTGCTATGATCCTATTGAACTCATGAACACAAGCCCTGCTGGCCATCAGAGCCAGGCTATCAAGGATGTGCTCTCTTGGCAAAAGCCCCAAAAGTCTGGGTGCCAAATGTGTCCATAAGCTCTTTTCTTTAAAGACACCTATGACCTGGGGTAGGGCTAAGAGGGAGCACATAGGTGGTGATGCAGACATTCACATTCTCTGGAGAGGATTGTTCTTGGCCCCTAGATGTGTGTTTAATTACAAGCCTACTTCTCATGCCATAGCTATGAAGATAAGCTAATGGGACTTTTTCTCAGGAGGACTATGGGTGTATTTCAGTCTGCCATCTCTGTGCTGTGCCATGGGGGTAGGGTAGCTACCTAGTTAAGAACTCTTTCTCCATGACCCTATGGGGCCCACAAATGTAAACCCCCCTGGCCACTAGAGCAAGGTAATACAGGGATGTCCACTGCTTTGCCCTGTACTTTGGTTATATTTTGTACCTGATTTCTTGAACCGTTTTCTGGAATAATGACCATATGTATAGCAGTTGTTGTTGCAATGTTTATTTCCCCTACCTGGTTATAGTATCCTTAAATATTCTGTCTTCTTTGTATTCCAAACTCCTCTTATAACCCATCTGGCACACAGAAAGCACTAAATAAATGTGTGTTAAGTCCTGGAATGACCAAATGAACCTTCACCATCATGAAGTGGAGTGTAGGAATCTCTCCTATTATGTATATTAAGTGTCTCTGGCTCCTTCATCTAATTTCCTTCTTTGAGTTCATCGGAGCCCTACTTGCCCTGGGGCACATCCCCATTGGTAAATTATAAAACAATTTGAGTGGCACTGACCTATACCACCTCAAAATATCCCTTATCCTTAATCTCCTATCCAGGGCTTGTAGTTCTCAGGTGTTGTAGTTCTCTCTATTCTGAGAGTTATTTTCTTTGTGTTATAGTATATTGCTTGGGGGATAATTTTTTTTTCTCCTAACTGCTTTGATAACTGAGATGAATGAGTAGCTGAATAAATGAAGGAAGGAAGTCTAGATAGATGTCAGCTCAGAAACCTCATTGTCTTCTCATGTTCTTTAACAGCATGTACCCCTTCATAAACTTGATTTCACAGTGGAAAGGCAATTTATAGTCTCTCCAGGAGAACTTCATTAAGTCAGATACCTTGTTTATGAAAATATTTTAAAAGGTGGTGTTCCTTCATGTTTTGTTTTTTTAACCCTTATTTTTAAGCACTAAATTCTATTTTCCACTTAATATATTCTGCCTTCTTGCATTTGAAATCCCTATTACAGTCTTTCTTGAGTTTTTGTGTATATTAAAAATATGCTGGGGCACTTGGGTGGCTCAGTGGGTTAAAGCCTCTGCCTTCAGCTCAGGTCATGATCCCAAGGTTCTGGGATCGAGCCCCGCATCGGGCTCTCTGCTCAGCAGGGAGACTGCTTCCTCCTCTCTCTCTGCCTGCCTCTCTACCTACTTTGTGATCTCTATCTGTCAAATAAATAAATAAAATCTTTAAAAAAAATTATTAAAAAAAATATGCTAACAATTTTACTTTTTTCCATTTTTCTTTATACGTTTTGCTTGTTTCAACTTAGTTTGGATTCTATTCTGTTAATTATTTTTGTCAAAGTTAATATTCTGTAGCCACATTAACTGCTTGCTAGTTCATGAATAATTTTGTTGCAAATAATGGTGACAAGGTCACATATGTTGGTCAACACTCACAGAAAATCAGTATCAGAGCCAAGAATTAAAACATTACTCTCAAGCAGGTATTTAAGAAATATCTGCTTTCTTATTTATTTTCCAACTAATCCCTTCCTGAAAGAAGCTTTATGTGAGATGATCTGCACCATACATTTTTTAAGCAATGCATGGTCAGGAATACATTTCCTTTTTGTCAAAAATAGGCCATGCATTTTTAATGCATATGTACACAAATTATAATTTGACAATGATAATCTAGACTTGATTTATTGCTCACCTGTGTTTATTTTTTCTTAGATTTCTGCACATTTATTAATAAATCATTGAGTGGTACTTCCCATTTGTTATTAGTGTCAATGTCAACAAATAAATAATTCCATCTTGAGTATTAAAGTTTCCATAAAACATGCTGAAATTTATCCCAGTGATCTCAAATAGCTTTATGTCAATTTTTCTTCTCATTCAACTTGATTCCATAAATAATTATGGCATATTAAAGAGAGGCAATAATAAACTACTGCTCATCCAAAGATGAGTTCACAGGAGTGGTGATAGCTAATGATTTTCTAGTCACTGAAAGTTCTAGGTCTTTTCAATATATGACTTCCTAGGCCAGATCTCTCATTTCAGAAATATATAGGTTTCTATAAGTAAATATGAGGTTTGCATTTATCTCTCCTATACTTCAACTTGTTTGGGAAGAGTCTATATCCCATACTGCTAATTGTAACATCCAATGTATTATTTATCCCTACCAATTGAAAAATATGGTTAACATCTGTTTTGCTCTGCCCAGATTATTGCTCTGCCCATCCTTGTGTTTTGTAGCATTGTTAATTCTTAACCATGAGTTTACCTTGTTTAAATGTCTCCCAGGAGAAACAATAAAATGTAGTTTAATTTTTTGCTTAAGCTACTATTGTAATGGGTGCTGTAATAACATGCTGTTGAGAATAATTTTTTATTGTAACAGTCTTGTCTATAGATCCAGATTCATTTTCCCCCCCATCTTTGTAAGAGCATTTCTTCAAGAATAATGTAACCATTCAGTTTTTTTTTATTTTAATGAAATGGCTATATTGACACACTAGTCTCTTATGAAAACTTTCCAGTTTTCAGTTACAACCCTTTATTTGTTTCACACATTAATGGAGTATATCATCAGTTGATTTTGTTGTTATTTTATGACATCTAAATGCAAACATGATTTTTTTCAATATTTTTACTTTCAGAATATTTTTCCCAGCACTTGGGTGAATATGAGAATGTACTAGCAGCACTTGAAGACCTAAATCTTTCCATCCTGAAGGCAATGGGCAAAACAAAAAAAGTAAGGAAATGTTGGTGTTTATTTTCTGTAAATATCATCTTTGAAAAAATTTTCTTGGAAATCCTGCCTATTTCCTAATGTATCATAAAAGTTTACATTGGTTTTTATCTCTGATAACTTACGTTCTTGATTAAATGAGCTATTGTAGTCATGCATAATACAATTATAAAATACTAGGTGCCAGAATCTGTGCTTTTTGTTGAGGATACAAGGAGCTGTTCAAACAGCTCTTAACTGTGGTCGGGAGACAGCTGTGTAAACAAGCAATTGCAGTATAGTACAACAGAGGGAAGCACAAGATGAGGCATCTGATTTGGGCTGGAGGAGATGACACCTGAGCAATTACAGATGAAATCATAGCTAGGGAAAGGTGAAACAGACACATGGAACAGCATGTACAAAGGCTCTGTGTTGGAAGGGGAATGGGGTAAGCACAGGGCATTCAAGAAAATATAGTCTTTATTATTTGTTATTTTTTTATTTTTATTTTTTATTATTTTATTTATTATTAAAGTCTAGAACACTTAGGAGTGGCATGATGTGAGATGAAACATGTGGTAGAGAGGATGTGTACTTGTCGGGATATTGTTGGTAAACCTGAGGATTTAGAACAGTATCCTAAAGGCAAAAAGGTCAGCCACATTTTAAGCAAAGATAAGGAAATTCATGTAGTCTTTTGAAAAGATCATATAAGAAATTAGCTTGAGATTACTAGGGTGGGTGGGGAATATGGGAATAGGATCAGCAAGATGAGTAAGGAAGCTAGTTTACTAACCCAGGGGAGAGATTTTGGTAGTTGAATGGTATTGTTAGATGATATGGAAAAAAGGAACTTAACTGTACATAAGTTGAGATCCTATCAGTAAAACTTGGAGAAGGAATGAATATGGTGGATGGGAGGACATGTCTAGGATAAATCCTGTTTTTTAGCTTATATGCCTGGGTAATGGCATTATCTAAATAGAGAATGCTGAAAGAAAACCAGGCTTGAGGTAAGATTGTAAATGCACTTTTAGACATGTTGAATCTAAACTGCTTTTGGAACATCTAAGGAAATTGAAGTAAATCATTAGATATATGGATCTGAATCTGAGAGGTGAAGTCTGGATGGGACAAATGTTTGTGGATTGTTAATACTTAAAGAACTTGAATGACATCAACTGGAGAGAGAATATATAGTAGAAAACGGACAGGACCTAATACTGAGTTTTAAGGAACTTCAACTTTTGTTGGTGGGTGGAAGAGAATGAGCCAGCATGAGAGTCTGAGAAGGAGTGGGTAGAAAAAAGAGAGGGAATCTGGGAGATCATGATGTCCAAGAATTGGGAAGAGTATTCCATGAAACACAGAATGGTTAATAGCATTGACTACTATGGAGGGCTCAAGAGAGATGAGAATTGTCTATCAAAAAAACACATTTTAGCATGTGAGATATGTAACAAGAAATACACATTTTTAAAGCTTACATGGAATTTCTGGATAAAGACAGCAGATATGTGTACATCACTGAACTCTGCTTGCTCCTGAAGCCCCCCAAAGAAAACTAAAAAAAGATTTTTTTTAACGGGAAAGTAATAGAAGTTGAGAATTAGAAAGCCAGTGAACAAGTGGTCCCTGGAAGCAGACCTGACATGTTTGATGGCTTGACTTGTAGTGGGAAAGCAGAACACCCCAGCTTCATTCTTAGAAAGGAACTTGTGGCACTAGTTGCCACTGGAAAAGGGTGGGAATTGTTGAGCTAAAACAGGGGGACCTGTTGGAAATCTGTGATTCCCTGCCCTTCTCCACCCAGCTGAGCAGTTGCCTCTTGATCCAGCCAGTTAGAAAGCTTGTTCCCTGAAAGGGTTAAAGGAGCGGGTCTCTGCCCTGGGGTGGTATGTCACCACAGCTGAGAGATTAAGTAAAAGTTTACAAACCAAATGAAAAGACCTCCAGCTCCCCCCCATGCCCCCCACCCTGAATATAACTCCCAGAATGTTGACCACTCAGAGGGTTGGCATCCAGATGGCAGACAGGGAGATGCTGTCTCTGAGAAACCTTACCAATTACTAGAGAGTCTCTCTCATGGTAGGTAGAGCTCAGCCTGATCTCCATTTTCTCCCCTTGAATCTTAAAATCTTTTCCACAGCCCATCCTTAAAGATGCACTGTTAGCCAAGTGTCACCAGACTTATTACAGGACAGACAGAGAACAAGACAAATCAAAAAGGGGGGAGGGAGGAAGGAGTGCACAAAGTAACACAGGGCCTCTAGACGAAGATGACAACTCCCACTCAGTCTCATCAGCCTCCTCGGAGGACAAGAGAAGATACTGTTTCCATGAAAAACAGGGCGACAAATGGAACACTGAAGAGCTCTTTAAAATTAAAATGAGAGCAGATACCTGCTGTGGGTTTTTCATAGATAGATTTGATGAAGTTCAGGAATGTTCCCTCTATCCCTGTACTTTGAAGTGTTTTAATCAGGAACGGATGCTGGATTTTGTCAAATGCTTTTTCTCCATCAATTGAGAGGACCATGTGGTTCTTCTCTCTTTTCTTATTAATTTGTTCTATCACATTGACTGATTTGCGAATGTTGAACCATCCTTGTAGCCCAGGAATGAATCCCACCTGGTCATGGTGGATAATCTTTTTAATGTGCTGTTGAATCCTGTTTGCTAGGATCTTGTTGAGAATCTTAGCATCCATATTCATCAGTGATATTGGTCTGAAATTCTCCTTTTTGGTAGGGTCTTTGCCTGGTTTGGGGATCAGGGTAATGCTGGCTTCATAGAAAGAGTCTGGAAGTTTTCCTTCTGCTTCAATTTTTTGAAACAGCTTCAGGAGAATAGGTGTTATCTCTTCTTTGAAAGTTTGGTAGAATTCCCCAGGGAATCCGTCAGGTCCTGGGCTCTTGTTTTTTGGGAGGTTTTTGATCACTGCTTCAATCTCGTTACTAGATATCGGTCTGTTTAGGTTGTCGATTTCTTCCTGGTTCAATTTTGGGACATTACAGTTTTCCAGGAATGCATCCATTTCATCTAGGTTGCTTAGCTTATTGGAATATAACTTTTGATAATAACTTCTGATGATTGTTTCTACTTCCTTGGTGTTAGTTGTGATCTCTCCCTTTTCATTCATAATTTTATGAATTTGGGCTTTCTCTCTTTTCTTTTGGATTAGTGTGGCCAATGGTTTATCGATCTTATTGATTCTTTCATAAAACCAGCTTCTAGTTTCATTGATACGTTCTACTGTATCTCTGGTTTCTACCTCATTGATCTCAGCTCTAATCTTGATTATTTCCCTTCTTATGTGTGGAGTTGGTTTGATTTGTTGTTGATTCTCCAGTTCTTTAAGGTGTAGAGACAGCTGCTGTGTTCTGGATTTTTCAATTTTTTTGAGGGAGGCTTGGATGGCTATGTATTTCCCCCTTAGGACTGCCTTTGCTGTATCCCATAGGTTTTGGACTGAAGTCTTCATTCTCATTGGTTTCCATGAATTGTTTAAGTTCTTCTTTGATCTCCTGGTTGATCCAAGCATTCTTAAGCAAGGTGGTCTTTAGCTTCCAGGTGTTTGAGTTCCTTCTGAACTTCTCCTTATGATTGAGCTCCAGTTTCAAAGCATTGTGATCTGAGAGTATGCAGGGAATAATCTCAGTCTTTTGGTATCGGTTGAATCCTGATTTGTGACCCAGTATGTGGTCTATTCTTGAGAAGGTTCCATGTGCACTTGAGAAGAATGAGTATTCTGTTGTTTTAGGGTGGAATGTTCTGTATATATCTATGAGGTCCCTCTGGTCCAATGTGTCATTCAATGCTCTTGTTTCTTTATTGATTTTCTGCTTCGATGATCTATTTCTGAGAGAGGCGTGTTAAGATCTCCTACTATTAATGTATTCATATCAATATGACTCTTTATCTTGATTAACGAGAGCAGAGCTAAAGACTTTACAGAATTCTGAAAAATAAAGTTTAGAAAGTCTCCAAAAAAGTAAAGCAAAAGAGAAAGCATAAGCCAATGGGAGCATCAGTGTAAGCTGTCCTATATCCAAATAAATTCCAGAGAGAAAGAAGAATGGAGTCTGAAATACATTTTCTCTTGATCTATTAAGGTGTATTTGGAAAGTGCATAAGATTTTTATTCCTTGGGACCTTCCCTCCAGAAATGGTAATTCTTCCAAACCTCTTCTTGATGTGGCTGGCTTCTCTCCTTTTTCTTTAGGTCTCGCCTTTAATACCATGTCCTCAATGAGGTCTTCTCTGACCACCTTATCTGAAAGAGGTTATCTCTGAGGATCTCCTGTTCCTTGCAGGCAATGATCAGAATGAGTAACTATGTATTTTGTTTTCCTTGTCTGTAAGGAGGGAGAAGGGCAGTATCTTTTTGGAATACTAAGAGCTTCACATAGGGCCTGACAAAATGTACTCAAACATTTATTGATTGGTTAAATCAATTGACTTAAATGGATATTCATACAGCTCTAAAAGCTAAGTAATTTACTCCTGAAAGAAAAATTGCTCCTAAGTCCCATCTAAGAAGTGTTCAGATATCCTTTAATGGGAAGGAAAAGCAAGTATCTAATCCTTATTATTATTATTTTTTTTTACAAATTATGCTAAACTCATGTTCTATGAATTAATATAGCAAGGCTTTGTTAAATCAAGATCAACCTGTTATTTTGGTTTTTGTTACAAAATGTATTTCTTTTCTTTTCTTTTCTTTTCTTTTTTTTTAAGATTTTATTTGTTAGAGAACATGAAAGGGGGAAGGGTCAGAGAGAGAAGCAGGCTCCCCACACTGGAGAGCCTGGCGCAAGGCTCGATGCAGGGACTCTGAGATCATGACCTGAGCCAAAGGCAGACGCTTAACCAACTGAGCCACCCAGGCACCCCCCCACGAAACCTGTTTCTTAACAATGACCCTTAAAAATGCATTTGATCTATATAACCATATGCTTAATCAAGGACAAAAAGTTTTTTTTTAATGGTCAAAATATAATTGGGAAAGGTTCTTTGTG